TAGAATGACCATAATTTTGCGGTAACGCAGGATAACTGTTGGTTAAACATTTTGTGTATGGTCGTTTTGTGTATGGTCGTTTTTGCCTACACCCTGAATTTTAGCATATATCGGCGACGAAGCCACCTTTAGGAAAAAGTACTTTGGCAGAAACGTAAAGAGTTCTTGCATATGAAACTCTTGCATATGAATTGAGTTGATTTAATCATCTGTTTTTCAATTTTTTTTTTGTACAAAAAACCCCGGTCTTCTTCTAAAAGTACTAGTTAAAAATTGAATTTTCAATTGAGCACGATTTAAAAAAATCCTATAAGTCATTAAATGTCCTCATTCCATACGTCAAAATGCCATCTATCAAAAACTCCTTTTTCGTTTGACCAAAATGCCCGTTAAAAACCGCTTAGTTTTGATGAGAAAACCACCTGAGTGAGTCTCGGAAATTTAATCACCCTTGCGATGAGCAAAGTTTGCCATCGGTTATTAGCCTAATTTTCCCGTAAATAGTTTTTTTCTCAGAATATTCAAAATATGAAATGGTAAACGTAGGTTCAACTCATAATGAATTCACTTTTATTTGCGTCTCCTGTAGACTTGGTCCAGAGGTAACGACTACGTCTCTAAACTGGCATGATCTGTTTTTTTTTAAACGAGAATTATTCAGCATAAAAAAACAAATTGTCGGCTTGTTATTTCGTAATTTTTGTTTTTTTTTGCTTAAAAACTTTATTCTGCGCAATTGATTTTGGTTTCTTTCATTGGCTTAGTGATCTAACTTTGAGTCGTTTCAATTGAAACCTAATATTTATGCTCACATCTGGATCGCTCAAATTGTTAAAACCGATTAATTCAAGATAGAAATTATAGTTCAAGTTTTTCATGGCATTTTTTTTCTTTTTTCTTGGCTTGATAAGTTTCGGCCTATTTTATATCAGCTTAATGGCCGCATTCTGTGTCTCAATGTGCGTGTATAAGTTTTGAGGGCAAAGGGGACTTAATAATTTTCTATTAGTTTTACACTTTTTCTTTTCGATTTTTTCGGCTATTTTTTTTTCAAATATTCCTTCTGAATATGATGCACAAACTGAGTTTTCAGTTATTCACTGAATAGTTTGTTTCTGGCCATTGGGTAAAAAAATGTTGTGTTAGATGGTGAGGCATTATGAACATACCATTGAGGGCCTGAACGAATATTTAATCACAATCAAATTGAAGTTTTTAAAAGGAGCAAATTGTAGTTAAGGATTCGGAGCTACGTTTGAGCGCAACTCGGCAGGAAATCTAATACGATAAAAGCGGTTCTATTTTAAAATATCATCCTTGATGTCATATGATTAATTTTTTTTTTTCACGCTCGAAATGTTTAAAAAATGATCAAAATCAAAATGAGCGATTTATTTTTGTACGCTCATTTATATATGCAGTGTAATTATTGAAAAAAAGTTGCAGCGAACAATAACATACCCCCAATTTTTTTAAAATCCTTTCTGAAATTGCATTGCTTCAATCTGAAAAAAAAATTTTGCTTAGACAATGCCAGCGGAGTCAAAAAAGATGTTTGTATCTATTTTAGTTTTTATGTCCACGCTGTTTTATTTTAATTTGGGAGAACTTTTAAATCGATTAAAAATTTCCAACGAATTAACATCCTCTCCCCTGATATGTCTAAAGAGATGTTAACTTAGTTTTAAGTTTGAATTTCAACCAAACAGATTCGAGTATTTTACCAGCTGTGCGTGTCAGTTTTGGTCCCAACTAAGTAGTGGATTCTAAAAAAATAGTTTGCGTTTTCTAAGAGGCTAGTTCCAGTTTTTTTTCGTGTATCGCTTTCAAAAAAGAAGGAAGTTTTCACAAAAAAAAATTTCAAACCATTTTCATTTTTATATTATGTCACTTTAAAAATATACAAAGGCAGTCAGGTCAGTTGGAAATTTCCCTTGATACTAGCAGCTCCGCTTATTTTTTAGATTTAAACATGAAAAATTAACTTTTTTGTTTTTTTTAACAAGAAATTTATTGGAAACATTTTAATTTACATCAAAATGAGCTCTAATTATTCTCAATATTCAGAATTACATCTATAGTTATCCTAGTTCATGTTTGTTGTTCTCATTTTCAATAGCTTCAAAAAAAACTGAGAACAATAACACTAATTATCAAAAGACAGTTTTTTTGGTGTTTAAGTATTGAGTCTGAAATTATTGCAAGTAACAAAGGATTATTAACTCACTTAAAAAATAAAGCATTTGTTTCTCAAAAAAAAGTTTCTTAGAGCAACTAATGTTGGTAGGTACTATTTACTATTTACTATTTATTAGATTGCCCGGCTGTTATAGGCTGAAACACATTGCACCACTTTGTCACTACAAGTGTTTAATTGTTTTTATTCTCGTTTTTTAAGGCTGATTTAATTAATAGGACAAAACTTATGAAACATGATACTTGAAGCCTGTTTCTCTTTAACAATGAGATATCAAAAAATTCCGTAGATACTTTATACAGAAATATTTTAGCAAGATTTTCAGAGTTTCGGTTCACTTCAAAAGTGCCGAAGCACAAGATTGCCGAACAAATAAAAGGTATTCAAGAGTACCCAAAATTTACAAAAAGGACTCTTACAAGGGCCAAGGCAATTTTTGAAAAAAAAGAAATTCCCAGTATCTGACAAGACAAAGCTGCAAAAATAGATATAATTGTGGGTGCGTAAAAAAAACAAAGGTCCCTGAATTACAACAAATCATCACGAGTCGAACTGCATTTAGTTAATTGTAAGCGGGTTCGGCTACAGGCCAAAACAGATTTGTCACGGAGTCAGCAATATTGCTACTTTTCTTTGATTCTTCTCGCTGTTCTGAATTCCACGATTGAGAAACTGAAACACTATACTGCTCAAAAAACAGCAGATTCTGCGGAATTCGCAAAAAAAAATTGCGGAATCCGGAACAGCTTGAGGAGTCCTCAAACAGATAATAATTTGTGTGTACAGTCAAATTGCGCTGTCGTAGATCCCGCTACGATCAGCGGAATCCTCAAAATGTGAGCAGAATCCGCAAATTCAAAGCGGAATCTGCATACAGGAGCATACAGCGGCTTAGAGCACCAAATTTTCTTTCAAAAGTCTTCGCCGCCTGCGTCTGTGATATTAAGACTGCCCTGCCCGCCCTTGGGCAGCTTAAGTCCAGAAGCACTCAGAACACTTTTAATCGCAATGTTCTTCACTAAAATTGAGATAATGTCTTTTAGATTGGTTAAAGTAGTTTTTGAAAAACAATTTTCGATGCTGTTTGTTCTCAACCTTCAGCAGACTGATTAAATGATTTTTTTTTGTGTGTGAAGATTTCACCTTTCGTTCGTTTGGATCAAAATCATTTGCTCGACTCTGTGAATTGATTAATCTTAAACACACTTGAGAAACAGAGTCGAAAAATGTCAAAGATGTTGATACAAAAAAGTGAAACAAAAAAGCAATTCATTAAGACAGGGGATCGACTACACGATCTGAAAATCTCAAAGTGAACGCCTTACCACCATGCTAAGTGCCTCTATATAGTTCTAATCCTAATTGGAGCCTATTTGGTTATGTACAGAAACCCACTAATCCCAAGTAATGACTTTGCTTATTCGGTGTTACGCTGTGATGTTCTTCCAAGTTATTATCCCAAAACTAGCTTGCTGGGGACATTTATCCCAAATATAATGGTTACATCCACAATTTTAGTTAATCAACGATTCGGGATTTGTTCATGACATTTGTTGTTTTCTTGATTTTGAATTCCGTTTTTGCTATATACTTATTCTGGCTTTAGCTTTAATTGTTTATTCAAGAACTGGTTGTGCCCAGTTTATTAAACATTGTTGTAGAGTTGTCCGGACTCCTCTTAAATATGCAGAATCTTCTAAAACTTTGTTGATTCCACTTATAATTTGCAAATTTTTGCGTACATTTGCGGAATCCGGAACAACTAGCTATAATCGCTCGTTGCAAAATCCGCAAAAAAAAACAAATGTGCCGATAAAGTTTACGTTCTGTGTATTTGTACGTTGAATTCAATTACATTAAAGAACCTGATTACAGACTTTTCTCTGAAATTCAGTGACCTACAGAAACCAAATTTGGCGCCTACCCAGTGCACAGTTTGGCCTCGTAATGATTTAAAAAAACAAATGAAAGTTTGCTTTATTTATCACTTTTTAGCAGCTAAAATAGGTCTGTTTTATTATAAAAATAGACACTGTTCAGTTTGAATTTTGCTACTTTTAGACAATATATCTTTTGTTAGGATGAGAAAAACGCTAATTTGATATAATTTTGAAAAATGGAGCTGTAATTTTGCAATTTTGAACAAAAAAGTTCAGTCAAAGACATCTTTTTAAGATACATGTTTCACCATTACACTTTTGAGAACATCTAAGCAAATTTTACTTCATTCTTTTTTTGTCTAATTGAACACAATTTGAGAAAAATGTCTTTGAAGAAACCAGGTTTTTTGTTTTGTCCGTATAATTTCAATCAGCTTCGAAACATAGCGTTCGGTTTTTGCATTCATCGATAATACTGTCTCTTTCATCATGAAAATAGCCCCGTCTTTCTTATTTCGCAAAATAAAAATTGCAAAACTGAGCAAAATAAGACTTTATTTTGTAGTCTCTAAAACCAGTCTGGAAATCAGACTGCAAAACCAGACCATAAATCAGTGAAGATTTTAACTTAAGGCAAATCTCAGTTTAGGTGAAAATTATCCCCCAACTAATTAAGTGAGCCATCCATCTCCTTCTAACTTAAGACAAATCTCAGTTCAAGTGAAAACTATCCCCCAACTAATTAAGTGAGCCATCCATCTCCTTTATGAATTAGTTTTTCGAGAGAGTGTTAATCTGATCTGTAGTCTATTTTAAATGACACAGTAATTTGGCAGCCATTGGAGGTTTGACACCAAGCTGTCACTTGGGCAGAACTTATTTGACCTCTACTTGATGAAAATATGTCTTTGTTTTTATTTCAGGGAAGCAGCGATAATGATGTTTGCAGGATTATTTTCCCTGAATAATCACGTCGTGATAGCTTGTGAACGACTTCAGGCAACGATGATTTCCAGGCCAAGTAAGAGTGAACAAATTTATCAAACACTGACATAAACAGGAAATTAGCTCCGCCATGGGCGCTTTTTCCCGGTGAGGTCTCGATATAATCATTGTAATCTGATTTCCTTGATGGCCAAATTTTCTGCCTTCTCTAAAATAGAAGAGAGTTTGCTAAGAATCTATTTTTGGAAAAGTCGGTTGTAGTTAAAACAATTTTTTTTACTTCAAATTTTTTTAATGGTTACTCAACTGTAGACTTCGTTTCGATTGGAAAAAATGCAATCAAGTTTTTTCTGAGTTTTCTCTTTGCCATATTTCTTGTTTTTAGCCCCATGGATGACTAAAAAACAGTGTTGATTCAACTTTGAATCAGCTTTGTTTTTAGCCCCAAAAACAGTGCTGATTCGAAGTATCTGATCACAACTACTAAAACATGAAATTTTAAGCGCGTTTCTCTCAAATTGGGTTAAACTTAAAATAAATAAAAACAAAACCGTTTCAGAATTTCACTAGCACTATTATGGCGCAGTACGTTTTGTAAAACTTTGACCCAAAGTTTCACCATTAAACGGGCCATTTTTGGCCCGATGTGTTTGATCATTACTTGCGAGAAAACTGCTGTTTCAATTTGTAAATAAACTTAATCAAAATGGTTCCCAACCAAACAAAATTTAAGAAGGGTTAAATGCGTGAAAATCATCAAAATTTTTTTTCCAGACAATGAAATGTACAATTGCAAAATAGACGATTTACTTTTTGTTGGGTTGAGAAAAACGCTAATTTTGATATAATTTTTTCCATAGCTGTTTCTTGCGTCATTTTTAATCAAACAAATAGAGCTTTTGTCTTTATTACTTTTATTCTTAAAAAAAGAATTAATTCAATTTGAGTAAATGCGTTAAATTTTCAGTTTTATTTGTTTTGAGCGGATAATTTAAATAAACATTGCAGCACAAAAGGTTCCGACCACAGTTCTTTCTGAAAAAACGTATTTAAAATCGTTTTTTAACCCAATTTCAGTCGTTTTTTGTTCGGACTGGAACTAAAACAGTGTTGAACAAGTGTATTTGCTTAAAATATCTTCAGTTTTTTTTTTCAAAAGAGAATTATCACGGAAATTTTTCGTGTGCTTTTTTTCAGATTCTTTTGGCAGATTCGCTTCACTGCATTGGCATAAAAATCAAAATTTTCTAATCGGCTTTCCTACACACTGACGAGAGTTCTTAAAATTGTATAAAGTTGATCGAACCACGATTGAAGGAACTAATATGATAAATTGCTCCGCTCCATCCGACGTTTAATCGTTTTACTTGATGTTCGTGAAAAAAAAGTTTTTAGAAAATTCTGGAAAACCGGACATACGTCTAATTCATGAAATTATGTAATACATGAAAATCTGAATTGTGATTTTAATTGTGTGTTTAGATCGTGCCAGAATACGCCTCCAGGCGCGAGTTAACGGGAATGCACTACTAGTGGTCCTCGGATCTCTCGTAATGTCTCTAGTGTGGACCCTTCTAGCCAGCTTCTGTCAGGGTCCTGGGTTCGCCCTGGACAGTTCTGGACAGAGTTGGGGTCTCAACTGGCGCACTGATACGGTCAAGAGTCTGGTATACATTTGGATGTTGATGGTGTTTGAATTTGGCATTCCCATTGTCATTGTGGTGTACGTGTACGTGAAGATTTGGCTGGTCATTCGCAATGGAAAATTCCCTCACCAGATGACGCCAAGGTCAGAAAGTTTTAATAAAGCTACAACTTATATGTATTGCCCATTACAATCAGCTAGTCTTTTTTTTAAACTGCCACGACCTTTCCAGCTAATTACGCTTACGATTAGCAAGCGTTATCAAATCGTAACATAAACTTTGTTTCGGGTTAACAACTTGTATTAACAGAATCACTTGCATCTTGGTTCATAATGATTTTGAACTTCTATGCGTGTCCGACACTAAGCCTGGATGGGAAGAATACGCCTGGGACGCCCAAGGTTCAAATCTGATCAGGAAATTTTTTAGCGAGCTGGAAATATTCTTTTCCAAAAAAACGTCGGCCTATAGCTTGTCTGCTTATGTTTTGTCGGTTTGTTAGCATTGACTTCTTTTATTTTCCTATTTTTTGTTTTTTTTTTGCTTAGAAAGTATATTTGGCTTCAACGATTTCGGCTTATTTTATTGCCGAAATCGTTGCCGAAATTTTATTACCGAAATCGATTTCGGCTTATTTTATTGGCTTAGTGGCCTAATTTTGGATCATATCAAGGAAAGCGTACGTTTTTTGCTTTATTTTGGATTGCACAAAATGCTGAAAATCTTATAATAGAATTTATAGTTCAAAATTTTTCCTAAAAATTTTTTATTTTAGATTCTACATTCGCTTCATTGGCTCAGTTGCCGCTTGTAAATTAAGTTACAATTTTCATTAGCTGCCATCAATTATGTTTCTGGGCCTGTTTTCCGCAAAGGGAACATTTTTTTAGTTGTGGTTTTTCGAAGTTTTTTTTCAACTTTTGCTTTAGTGACTTTCTTTTACTGTCTACTAGCTTGCACTGCTCCTTTATGTTGTATCGCAAGTGCTGAGACGCTCCACTTCGCCTTTGTGTTTTACCAATTAATACGCCCTTAAATCAAACAATTGTCGTGATTGAATTGAGATTTTTTTCAAACTTCTAAACCCGTAATTTGTAGAGCCCGTTATTCGTAATTTGTAGAGAATACAAAATTTTACAAATTACGAAAATCTAAACCCGGGATACCCGTCCATGAGATTCCATCCTTGGAGCCAGGCCTGGTCAGGGGAAAACCATGTCAAACAAGTGCAGAGATTGCCCTGGAATTCCTTGAGTTTTAACTTTACACATGTTTTTGAATACACCCGGAAACAAAACAGACCAAATGATATAAGAATTACCATAGGTTATTTGGAAAAAATCTCGCTGATAAACTGCTTTTGTAGATTCACCATTGAAAGTAAGTTGTGAAATTTTCACTTAATTATGGTAATAAAAACAGTTTTTTGTAGCTAGATGGTTTTTATCTCAAAAAACAAAGTTTCTAAATTTTCAATACGCTTTTCCGTTATTATTAAGTTTATCTTATCGTTGAAAAACAAGAAAATTTAATTGTAGCTCCACGCAAAACGTTCATTTTGGTTTTTGTTTTTTTTGTGCAAAACTTTCGAGCCTGAACTATGTTATACACCAAAAAAAAACTATATTTTGCGTAAAAAACTCTTTTTTTTTCAGAAAATGTTTGTGTGAGTCTGAAAGTGACTTTGAGGCAGCTAAAAAATATGTAAAAGCTGCTTAAAAAGTGCTGCTTCACACCTGTTTTAAGGGGTTTTTGTTTTAGATTTCCTGGCAGGGTCCCTGGATTGACCCTGACAGGAAGTCCAGGATTGCCCCGGACTCTTTAAGTTCCTGGCAGAAAGTCCAAGGTTTTCCCCCGGCTATGTAACCCAAAAAAACTGCTAATAATTCGGAGCTACATTTATTGAAAAAAAAACCATTTTGCTTAAAAGAAACAAGAAATTAGTTATTTATAAATTTCATTTGTTTATGGTTCATGAAAGAACTGCTGTTACAAATTCAGATTAACTTTCTCAAAAACGAATCGATTTTTAATTGGCCGAAAAAAAACTACTTAATTTCGTGAGTTTTCTATTCAAGCACCTTTTTTTCTTTAAAAGATAGATGAAATTTTTTCTACGTTTTCAATTAGAGGAGCCACTGATGGCCGCCTCCCGCATTGGTGCTCACGCACTTGCTCATAATATTGCGAAAGTACAAAACTTTGCAAAACAGAAATTCTTTCTGATCCTGGAAAAAGATGAAAAATTATATATAATCCCTTATAAATGATTCAAATTGGAGATAAACCAGTTACAAAAAATGGAAAATTAGACCATTATAAATGATTAAAATCAGTTATAAGTTATTAATTTAGCTGTTCTTTTCAAGTGGTCTTAATGCACCATGAATCAATTATAATCAAAACTCTCTGCAATTTCATAGAGATAGTTTACGAATTTACAATATAATTGAATAATAACCATGTGCGCGTAGTGCGGCTTGTGCTTCGAGTCTCTATCTAATATATAAAATCTAAAATATCTAATGGGAACTTTAAAAGAAACAGTTTCTTGTCATCAAATTAGAAATTGCTCTTTAAGTTAAATAAATTTATCAGTTTTTGTATGTTAGAGCTGTTGCAATTTAGAGTTTTCTACTTATTGCAATTTTTGTTAATTAAATTTTTTGATTGGTCGAAAAAATCTAATGGTTTTGCTTAATTACATTCTTCAAAAACTGCTTCTTTTTTTTAAACAAAGAAGAAGTAATTATTATGTGGATACGTTAAATTTTGAAACAGTTAGTTTTCTTATTTTAAAAACCTGTTCAACAAAATAATTTTCCCACACTATTAAACAGCGATAAATTTTGGGTCTCATGCACTAAACGACCCAAAATTAGTATTTCTACATAGAACTAAAAATTTCTGTGGTTGAATCTGATTGGCTAATTCAACAACGCGTACTTCACTTCAATTAAAACTTCAAGCTGATAAAATTGTTAGCCGAAATTACTAAAACCTAAGAACTTTTGTTCTGTTAAAACCATTTCACAAAACTTTTCTTGTCTGTCAAAGTTTCACAATTGACGTGAAATTAATGTTATTATGTGACGAAGTTTTACATTTTCTTTAATTTCGGCTAAAGTTTTAATCTATTGGAAACGTTGACTGAAACGCCTGATCTTGTTGATTGAGTTTGATTGGGCCAATCAGACTCGACCGTATAACTTTCAGTTCAAGTTATACAAACATTGATTTTGGGCCGTTTAGTGCATAAGACCCTAATTTTTCAACAAATTTATTTTTTAAATCATGATAATTCGTTTGGATCTTTTCTGTTATGCGGTCCACAATTACAAAAACCTTGAATGAGCTATATTTGAGTTCAGATCTCCAATCTTTTTGAACTCAGATCGAAGTTTCGGATTTCTTTGGCACTAATTGATTTCATTCAATAAGATTTTGGCATTTTGATCCAATTTTCATAATAGCAAAAAGATGATTTTTGGGCCGTATAACAGAAAAAAATTCATTTATCCAAATTATTTTGAAGCTTTCGATATGAAGCAGTATTTGGATCCAAAATTTGGCTTGAAATTTCTATTTTTGCAATTCGACATGATATCAGGCACCCACTTTGTAGATCCAAACACTATTCATTAAATCTAAGTAGTAAATCTGACTACTACAGATAAAATTAGTAAATCTGACAATTGAACCAGAAAGTAGTAAATCTGTCGAAGTAAGGCAGTACAAGCCGAAGTACAACAGTGCCGAAAAAAAATTAGTTCAACAGTGCCGAAAATGAAAACTTAGTTCAACAGTTTCGAAAATATGAACAAATTTCAACATATTAAGTGCGGCAATAAAAAATTAAGCGGTGAACGTTTACAATTTTAAGTGACCTTTAAAGATTTTGAGCAAGAAAATTTGCAATTTAGACGTTTTGGCGCCAAAATAATTGTTAAGTTTACAGTTGCAGACATTTTAGCGCCGAAATTGTAGTGATTTTCTTAGATAATTAGCGGCAGTAATTTACCGCTCCTGAGAAATTGCGTTTAAATTATTCTGAAATTTCCCCCTCTTTTTTGGCGCTGTTGTACTTCGGCACTGTTGAACGCCCCCGTCGAAGTATGTTCCAAATCTCGTACAGTACTGATTTTATTTACCAGCACAAATAACGAAGAAAATTTCACGCCTGTTTTCCGTAGTTTGTTGCTGATACGCTCGAGTTCTAGAACTGCGACTTTGTTTTTTACGCGAATTGAAATCAAACAATTACATACTTTTTCTCTGAATTAAACAGAAATTTCCAGCAAAATAATTATCTTCGATGTGATTAAAGCTAGTTGGTTTGAGTTCTGATTTTTGGTTTTTGAAGACTGCGGAGAACATTATTTGTTAATCCGTTTTTCGAAGGCTTAGATAAAAGTTTTTGAAAGCTGCGTTTGTAAAATTAACATACAAAATTCACTGTATTGTTGCTTTTCACTAAAATCAAACTGGTTTGCTCTAAGTTTTTTTTTTAATTTTGTTATAATTATTTTTAAATTGACACCAGTTTTTGGCTAGCCGTTTTTTTAAAAGCACCCAGTTAAGAAAAGTTTGATCTCCAAAACCATTTATCTCGAATGGACGTGGTTCTATAGGCTAATTTTAATCCTGCTTATTGGTTAAGAATAGCGTTGCTGATACCAAAACAAAACAATTTTTTTTAAAAAATCTATTTAACGGTTCAGGGTACGTGGAATTAAATGATAAGCAAACAAGACGAATAAAAGTTCTTCTTTGGAATGAAGTTTTACTAACACAAAACGGGTGTTGAGAAATTAGACGATAAGCAAAATAGACGGAGGTACTTAAAAGTAAATTAGACGATTTTGCAAAACTGCAATTGTGAGAAAATAGACGAAAGTGAGAGAGATTAAAACTGTTTGCAGACAAATTGCGTGAGAGAACTAAATTGTTCGCAGACAACAGTTAAATTTCGGTGGCCAAAAATTTTACAACTCAATCATGCATATTTTATTCAATTGAAAACTCTCCTGTAATATTCGGATTTGCTGTTTTATGTTCATTTAAACTAATTGTTTCGATAGGTATTGACATTTTATGTTCTTTTTGTAGTTGTGAAATTTGACTCTTAAGATTTTTTTTTGGC